AAATGGTAATTTTGGTGATGAAAACTTTTTTTGTAGAGATATTTCCTCTAGCAAAAGTATCCTCTTATGGTTCTAGTGTGTTTTGCTATGCAAATCTATTGTTTTAGGGATTCACAGCTTATAAAGTTGTTCTCTGTGCAGATGAGTGTGTGATGACCCAAGCTGGGAAACTCCTGACAGAGTTCAATACCTCCCATTGGTACTTTGGAGTAGTACATTACTGGGGTACTTGGATATTTATACTGGTGAGTTGAGTGTGTTGTTTAAATGGGTGTGTTTCACTCCTATATCAGGTACTACAAGAAAATAAGATCTAATCCAAATAATTTATTAGTGTGTGACGTTTCGGCAACAACATTGTCACCAGCATCAGACAAAAGAATTTTAAAAAAATGAAATGTCTAATGATGGTGACAATGTTGTTGCCGAAACGTCACACACTATTAATTTATTTGGATTAGGTCTCATTTTCTTGTATTATAATCTATAATCCAAATTGTGCTTTATCATATCAGGTACTGTTAACTGCCTCAGTGTGGTGGGGAGGTGACCCTGGGCAGGAGTATGTCTGAAGTCTTGTACTCCTGGTAGGGCCACCATAAAGGCTGTCCGATTAAGCCCAGCTGAATGTTAGCAATAAGACAAAGTCATATTCCTACCTCTGTGTGACTCAGATGTTCCCATCAACAGGAAACACATCCAATTACTCCGTATGGATTCTACTCTTCTCACTAAAAAACTACCCTGTTTTCACTAAAAGTGAACTACATGTTTATACTTGTTGAAAGCAGTTTTTGACTTATGCACTTACAAATATACCGCAATTGTTTCTTTTGAATGAAAAATCTAAATTTATTTTAAGGAGAAATAACGATTTCTCACCTTAGGTATGAAGTATGAAAGAGTGAATTGTGTTCCCATCCCTGGACACTTTATTTTTCCCTTTATCATTACTCTTCACAATTCATCCTTTCATACTTCATCCCCGAGGTTAGAAATAATTGTTATTTCTCCTTAAAATAAATTTTGATTTTTCGTTCAAAAGAAACATTTGCGGGATAATTGTCAAATGTCGTTCTACAATCATAAGCTGTATTATATTTTATTATAACTTACAAATGGACAAGAGCCCAGTTTGATCATTTGCCCTCACTGGTAGGGTTGAACTTTTGCTAGATTTAAAGGTCATTTTTAAAGAAAAAAAAATTTTCTCAGAAAAAAGTGCCCAATGCAGGATTTGATCCTTGGTCATGGATATTGAGAAAATCAACAATTTTTACCACTCATTTATAAACCCCCTAGATTTAGCAAACCAATCTTTCCTTGGTCTACCTCTCCCTGTGTTGCTGGAGACCCACTGGTGATTCTCCACCAAACTCTGCAGCATGGCAGAGGCTCCATATTCATTGTTTATTATAATTATTTTAAAATCTAATGATAAAACACAATTTTGGATTATAGATTAAAACCACAAGGTAAATAAGACTAAATCCAAATAAAGTGTCTTTTGTCTGAAGATGGTAACAATGCTGTTACCGAAATGTCATACAATATTTATTTATTTGGATTTGGTCTTTTTTAACCTTGTATTTTAAATCTAATTATTTGTTCCCTTTCGCATGTTTTTTTTTTTTTTTTTTTTGCTTATTCCTAGTACACATGGTACAGGCCATGATAATCATGGTGGGTAGTTAGTTAGCAACTGCTTTTACTGTAAGCGCACCACATGTCTACACATGTGAAAAGCAGTTCGACTTTGCACTTACAAATGTGCCAGAGCCCCATTTGGTTACTTGCACTCGCTGGTGGGGTTGGACTTTTGCAAGAATCGGGGGCCATTGATTGGAGCATTTTTTTTTTTGAGCGACGTCAATAAAAATCTGTCAATTCTCAATTGTGAAGATGTTATCACAGTTTACTTGTTTGGTTCATTGTGATTCTGTTCAAGAGTTGTAACCCATTCAATCGGTGGATGCAGGTGTCAGCATTGGGATTCTTCTACTCCCTCACCAAACCCTACACCGCAGAGGACTCCCAGCTACGGACCGAGATGTCTCCAGACCTGGAGAGTGACCAAGTCCCACTCATCAGGAACTAGTCATCTTGGGACTTCCATTGGTGCCTGAATAAACTGGTCATACATCTCTTGATTCTTTTTATGTTTTTACCTACTTTTTTATATTGCTTGCAAGTTGCTGCTGCAAGTATGAATTTGGTATTGCCATGTTCTTGCTTATCCCAAGTACACATAGTAAAGGCCTTGATAATTATGGAGACAAATATCTCAGCTACAAAGGATGTCTGTACTCCATGTTAGGAGCAGCCCTCAAACCAAAATCACACTGAGTGGTACTTCCAGGTCCCCACAATAGGAGCGTTCTCCTTTCCCTCTCCTTGAAGGTTTCTTCTGTAATTGTGACAATTGAGACTCCTGTTGGAGATCATCTTAATTATATCAAAAGGAATAAAAACAACAAATGTTGATATTCACTCATGGACAAAACGTAAGGAAGTTGTACTTTTTAGAATGTATATCGAGACAATAACTCTGAAAGATATTATAGTGACCTTTATTGAAGACACACGAGATAACCAAATGTGAACAAAATTGCCTCTGTCTCCTTAAAAAAAAATAGATGACCAGCGACAAAGACTTTCCACTTCCTTAAGTTATGTCTATGAGTGTATGCTTTTTTTTTTCCAGACTACTGGTCAATTATTTTATTGATGAATCAAGAAAAACCAAGTACATGTACATTTCAGGTTTTTGGCACTGTTCCGGCTGTACTACATAGATTTGCCATGGTAGCCACAAAGAAAATGGATTATTCAATAGTTTGTGAATAAACCACCATTTAGTTTATATGTTTTCTGACAAAGATCAGTTGAAGGATTGAGTGCCGAAAGCTGTTGTTGTTGTGTTGTTTCTTTTCTCCTTGTGTAAAGATTACACGAATTCCATGAGTTCACAATCTCATGAAATAGGGTGTAGGGGCACAACTTTCATTGATCATGATCCAGGCCCACTTTGGTGAAAGTCTGACTTTGCCTGTAATTTGAGGCAGTTCCTAACATGGAAGTCTTTGCTTCTGACTCTAACATAAGTACAGACCCATGAGGGACCCTTGCTGAGGTCTATCAACCGGGTCAGTTTAACTCAGGATTTTTAAAGTCTTTCACCACGTATTAACAATGCTGCTGTTGGTCCATGACTGCTTCTTCTTTCTTATCTCCACTCAATCACACTAAGATATCAAGCTTGAGACTTTTGATGGTGTCTGCCGGGGAAGAGTAGAGCTCATCAATGGATGAGTCAATACAGTCCGTGACTGCTTATTCATCAGAGTTATTCTGCTTGTTTTACAGCTGGCCTTCATATCTGAAGGTCATTCCCCTATCTGCCACCTGGGGACATGCTCTGTAGCAGTCAGCTCTGCTGAGGGGTGCTGAAAGCTAGTGTAGATATGCAATATTTTATGAAAGAGACAACTTACCCTAATGTCTTAGTGATCGTTTATTGGTCTTTAGGTAACTACCACACTATAGTTTTGATAAGGTACAATTTGGATTATAGATTAGAAACATAAAAGGTAATAAAACCAAATTCAAATAAATACTGTTTAATGTATATGATAAGGCACAATTTGGATTATAGATTATAATAAAAGAAAATAAGACCTATTCCAAATAATTTATTAGTGTGTGACGTTTCGTCAACAACATTGTCACCATCATCAGACAAAAGAATTATCAAGTCACTTGATAACAGTACTATTTAAGAACTTGCTGTAATATTTTTTCTCATTTATTCTTTTGTCTGATGATGGTGACAATGTTGTTGCCGAAACGTCACACACTAATAAATTATTTGGATTAGGTCTTATTTTCTTTTATTGTTTTATGTATAATAATGTACATTTCAATAAAGGCTGCTAGAGGCTTGGGAGAGGCTGCTGCTTATCATAAAACAGCTTGAGGAGCATGAACTCATGGAATTTGTGTAATCTTTACACAATGGTGGATAAAAAACAATACATTTCTTTTAAACACAAGGTAATAAGACCAAATAAATTGTACAACACACTATTTATTTATTTGGATTTGTTCTTATTACCTTGTGTTTATAAACTATAATCCAAATTGTGCCTTATTAAAGTTTCTTTTAATTTTAGTTTTGTAAGCCTTAAGCAAATTTTCTGCTCTTCAACTGGCAAATGCTTTTATGTACAAAGCCATAACGCGCCATCTATATAAAACAGATGAAAACCTTAAGACACGAATGTTTCTTTTCACAAATAAATCAAACTTCTACTGTCCTTACTACGATGAAAAAATATTGGGAGGGCTTGGTTCATCAGTGGTGAACCCTCCCAACGGTTTCGCCAATTTAATCTACCAGACTGCTTCTTAGAGCTCTAATACTGTATTGGATGATTCTGCTTTTATATGTTATACTAGCTGAATGACCCGGGCAACGCCCGGGTTTTACCCCATTAAATGTTTTTATTTAAATACTATTTGTTCCAATTATAAATTAGCGCCGTGGATGTCACTCTTGTGAAACGTCCCGCTCCAAACTTTGTGTCTGAGAAGCGATATTTTTATAGAAAGATGATCTGGCTTTTGTTTTCTGCTCGAATGAATGTTTTTCTGTTAGAATTTTGTTCCTGCGTACAAAATAATGAGCTGGTTTCACCCGTGGTCTCTGCTTTTTGGAATTTTTCCCGATATAATTTTGTATCTGATAATCTTACATGATACAGCAATATCGTCATCATCATTTTCTGACTAATAATATATAGTTTTAATAATTGATTTATATATTTTTTAAAATAGCCTATCGTCTTCCCCGTATTTTTTTACCTATGTATGGAAATTTTGGTTTGAATTAGTGAACTACTGCGAATTTGTATACTGGACATACAAACAAACATACAAACATTCATTTTTATATAAATAGAAGATATAATATAAATGAGTTTTAAAAATTGTTTAAAAAATGCATCGGCCGGGAATCGAACCCTGTGCCGCCCGCGTGGCAGGCGAGCATTCTACCACTGAACCACCGATGCTTTAAAAAAATGGCCATATTTAGGTATTCATTCCATTCCGGATTAGTCCGCGTAAAAAAAAGTTCTTCAAATGAAAAAAATAAATAGCCAAAAATACTAATCAAAATGCAGCCGAAAATTTTCCTCAGGTTTATAAAAAGCGACATGCAAAATTTGGTACCAATTGGTTCAGTAGTTTTTGAGTTTATCGCGAAACAGACAGACAGACAGAAATTGACTTTTATATATATAGAGACTGAAGGGTGGAATCTTAGAAATGGTATTTAATCAAACTATGGACATAAGCTTTTAGGACAGTAGAATTATATATAAATATTTGTATCGAGCAATGATCTTCCACAAACAATAAGTACAAGGCCAGTCAGGCATAAATTGATACATAGAAATAACGTGCCATCTATATATAACGAATGAAGACATTAAGACGCGAATGTTTCTTTTCACAAATAAATCAAACTTCTACGGTCCTTACTGCGATAAAAAATTATTGGGAAAGTTCATCAAAGTAGGGACAGTAGTATTTTATTTTTGAAAAGAAACATCCAAAAAAATCACTTTATTAGGTACCGCTCAACAAGAACAACCTAGTTCATGATAATTATGCAACAATGAATAATATGTGAAGTTTATTCATATATTAAACAAAATATTAACGCGGGATTCAATCCCGGTTTATGGCTGTCGGGAATCGAGGGTGTTACCCACTCGTCCACCGACATATATTTTTTAAAAGAAACATTCATGTCTTAATGTTTTCATCACTTTTATGTACAATATTAAAATGATCTTTATACAAAACTAATTGGGAAAAAAAAGTATTATTGGCATTTGCCATTGTGGATGTACATCAAACTGTAAATTTACTTTCTGTTTGTATGTCTCAATTAGTAACATTTAGTTATATAATCAGGATATCCTCTTACAATAGATAACCCAGCGGTATTCTCATTGAATTGACTCTTGTTACTAGCTCTTCATTCAGAATCTAGTTTCAAACAGAATTTGACCTTCAGAGAATATAAACAATTAATTGCTGACTAGGAGGAGCACTTGCCAATCACAACGTCTACTTTCATTTTAACAAGATTATCTTGCAACTCTTCAACGTTAATGGTAGGTCTTTCCTTTCTCTGCATGTGCCATTTATAAATATACAGTAGAACCTCCATGAAAGGACACTCTTGCTAAAGGACACTTCTCCCTAAAAGACACTTTGGCTCTGTAATTAGGTGTTGTCCTTTACAGGGAGGTAGTTCTACTGTATAAACATCTATATTCTTTTTAAGAGAAATCATATTTAGATATTGCCTATTATTGAAGAAAACACTGTTATGAAAAAATTAACTGTTATTGTTTTAATTCAACACTTACTAATGTTTTATTTATAATCCAACACTTATACTATAATATTATAATGCATTAGAGCGCGCCATCTGTTATCAAAATTCGAAACTATTATAGATGCATATGATTCTTTTTAAAAATAAATAATTTCTACTGTCCTTACTGCAATGGAAAAATTAATCACAAAAACACACAACCATTATAATCACTATATGCACAAGGTAATAAGACCAAATCCAAATAAATAAATAGTGTGTGACGTTTCGGTAACAGCGTTGTTACCATCTTCAGACAAAAGTACTGAATGAGATGGTAACAACGCTGTTACCGAAACGTCACACACTATTTATTTATTTGGATTTGGTCTTATTACCTTGTGTTTATAATTTACAATCCAAATTGTGCCTCATTAATCACTATATGCTTAATGCAAATATGTAAATATAATTCTACTGTCCTTATGTCCATAGTTTGAATGAATACAAGTTCTAAGATTCCATCCTTCAGTGTAGCATACAACCCTACAGCCTGCAACCCCAAAATACATCATTGACTGTATTGACTCATCCATTGATGAGCTCTACTCTTCCCCGGCAGACACCATCAACAAGGTTTACAAGCTTGATACCTTAGTGTGATTGAGTGGAGATAAAAAAGAAGAAGATGGTATTGACTCATCCATTGATGAGCTCTACTCTTCCCCGGCATACACCATCAACAAGCTTTACAAGCTTGATACCTTAGTGTGATTGAGTGGAGATAAGAAAGAAGAAGATGGTATTGACTCATTCATTGATGAGCTCTACTCTTCCCCGGCATACACCATCAACAAGCTTTACAAGCTTGATACCTTAGTGTCATTGAGTGGAGATAAGAAAGAAGAAGAAGAGTGTAGCATATATAAACAGAATGATCCAATACAGTATTAAAGTTCTAAAGAAGTGGTCTGGTAGATTGAATTGGCGAGGACTATGACAGTAGAAGTTTGATTTATTTGTGAAAAGAAACATTCGCTTTTTGATGTTTTCATTTGTATTATAATCTCTATATACCAAATTTTTTTTTGCTTATCCCTAGTACATGTGGTACAGGCCATGATAATCATGGTGGGTAGTTAGCGACTGCTTTTACTGTAAGCGCACCACATGTCTACACACGTGAAAAGCAGTTCGACTTTGCACTTACAAATGTGCCAGAGCCCCGTTTGGTTACTTGCACTCGCTGGTGGGGTTGGACTTTTGCAAGAATCAGAGTCCATTGGAGCATTTCTATATACCAAATGATAAAGCACAATTTGGTTTATAGATTATAGCTACAAGAAAATAAGACCTAATCCAAATAAATTGATAGTATGTGACATTTCGGCAACAGCATTGTTACCATCAGACAAAATGTGGGATTCAATCTTGGGTCATGGCTGTAGAAAATTGAAGGTTTAGTCAAAGTGTCCTTTAGAAAGAAGTGTAAATAAATTGAGTGTGATGTTTCGGTAACAGCGTTTTTACCTTCTTCAGACAAAAGTACTGAATGAGAAATTTTTACCACAGCATGGTTTAAATAGTTACTGTTATCAAGTGTGTAAACAAGATAACAGATAAGAAAATGATCTTGTTTACATACTTGATAACAGTAACTATTTAAAAACATGCTGTGGTAAAATTTCTCATTCAGTACTTTTGTCTGAAGATGGTAACAATGCTGTTACCTAAACACGTCACACACTATTTATTTGGATTTGGTCTTATTACCTTGTGTTTATAATCTATAATCCAAATTGTGCTTTATCAAGGAAGTGTTCTCTTACTGGAGTGTAGCTAAATAGATAAAAATGATAATTTTGGTAATGGAAACTGTCTTTTATATAAAGGTATCTGCTAGTGGAAGTGTATGCTTATAGGAATTCAAGTGTATAACAATGAAAAGTTTTTAATCATAATCTACAAATACAGTAGAACTACCTCCCTGTAAAGGATAACACCTAATTACAGAGTCAAAGTGTCCTTTAGGGAGAGGTGTCCTCTTACCAGAGAGTTACTAAATAGTAAAAATAGTCATTTTTTGAAAATATAAGCTGTTCTTTATAGAAAGGTGTCCTCTAGCGCGAGTGTCCTTTTGTGGAGGTTCTACTGTATATATCAAATAATGTAAAGAAACAAAGGTCACCTCTCCCATCAAAATAGACGTCTAAAACCAGACGCCATCTATTGACCGTCGCCGCAACTAGCAGCCTCGGGTCGGTGACAAAGCCACAACACCAGCTTTGGAAAGATGAAAAGCGTCCACCTAGAGATCAAGGTTTCGGGGTAATGGCTAATTGGTCAATAGATGGCGTCTGGTTTTAGACGTCTATTTTGACGGGAGAAGCGACCCTTGTCTATCTAAAGAGATCAATTTCCTCACAGCAAAATTATCATCTATATCAAATAATGGAAAGTATATTTATTAAATTGATATAAAACTTCTCTCCTTCTTTCTTATCTCCACTCAATCATATTAGGGTATCAAGCTTGTAGAGCCTTGACAACCATCATGACTGGGTGAAGTAGAATGTGTCTGCCTTTGTCATTAAGACTGGGAGCACTACTCAGTGGCAGGCCGACTTAGCTCCAAAAGAAATGGCCGCCTCTGACATGAGGAACAGACGCTATGTACAGCTGCTCCTAACATGGAGTACAAAATATAAAACTTGATGACAATTAACAAACACATTTTTTTATTTACTATAAAATATATACTACATACTTTAGTAGACAAAAGATACTTAATTTATCCAGTAATATCCATGGTTATATATCAGGTTGGTTGGTATCCAACAGTACTTGTTCACCAGGCTTGAAAGCTGGCGTTCCACGGTAAGGGCATGTTGCACAACGGAAGGCATCTCCCAAATAACAACTTCCACAAGATGATTTAACATTTCCAGTCTTCAAAGCTTCTTCCTTTTCTAATTCTTCTGCTAACCCACAAGTACAATTTTTACATGCCTTTTTCTTCTTGTTTTTATCACACTCCTCTTTCTGAGCATCTGTATCAGGCTTAACCAAATCTTCTTCATCCAAAAGATCGTCTGTATTCACAAGATCATCATCTAGAATATCATTTGTAGATAAACTCCAAATTTTCTTTGCTACTTCTTTTGCTTCTGTTTGTTTTACATTATTTTCAAGTGATTGGATTTTCATTGATGAACCTCTTTCATAATTAGGCTTATATGCTTTAATATTGAGTTTGTATTTATCATCCTTTAGTTCTGTTGATTTAACATAACCTGATAATTTCAATTCCGAAATCATCTTTTGAACTTCACCTTCCTTTTTTGATGTAATGGAAATTATTAATTCTCCATCTGGCTTAAGAATGTCTAAAATTTTTGCTAATATTTCTGAAGGAAGATCTGTATGTGTGGGAACATATCCAAGAATTACATCATAGTGGGAAACTTGGTAATTTCCAGTGCGAAAATTAGTAAGATGCTCAACTTTATACTTATCAATATCGGTATCTAATACCTGACGCAATTTGAGTAATTCTTCGTCATAACCCGCCCATACAATCATAACCTGATTTCCTTCTTTTTGAAGGCCTTCCATCTTATTTAATAGCAAAAATAACAGCGAAATGAAACGCAAAGTGTAAACAAAAATACACAGAGCAAG